TATATATATAGTGAGGAAGGCATCAAACAGAGGGGATGAGGACAAGAAACCAAAGGCTCTCTCTTCACTCCACTGTTGTGGACATTTTTGTATTGGATTACAGTCAACTGACAGCCTGAAGCAGTGAGAGAAAAGCGCATTGATGTTTCTCACACAGCTGCTTTGCTTTCACATTCCAGCACCGACAAACTAAGACTTTAATCGAATGAGTCGAAGCCTGTCTGCAGTCATTCCCTTCTCAGCTGAAGGCTTCAGCTCCTCTAGTGCCTCTTTGAGTTCCAAGTGGATTCAAACCAGAGGCAGTCAGTCAGGCTCAGGTCTGCCAGGTACACTGTGAAATGTGCAAAACGTTTAACTCCTCCAGAGGCTGGTCATCAAGCCCTGCTTTCATTTTTCTGCTATGGAAACCTTGAAGCAGTGCACTATAAAAAGGTTTGTGACTGAATATATTTCACCAGTTTTTTTTCCTTCTTAAAAAATACTTTATTTTGCATGGCTTTGAAAACAGCCAATCAGGCAAGCATGTGGATCAACTGTCCCAAAAGAGAAAAGCTGCCATTTATTTAATGCTTTCTTATATTCAACGATTTAGGACTGAACTTAAGACGATCAAGCAAGTTACAAAAACTTTAATACAAGTTTAAAAGATTACAGTAAGAAGTAACTGAAATGTATATATTAATGTGGATGTGTGCAAGTAATGATTGCTTTCATTCTATACCATGACTGCCTTATATTAAAAATGCCTTATTTTAACAAGTAATGGCTCCTGATTAATCTGTGAGTTAATTTATTGATAGTGCTGTCCAAAAGTCTTGAGCCAGCCCTCATTTCTTTATATTTTGCTTCCACTGAGCCAGACTTTCTTGACTTTTTTAATGCGGTCTTGCGCAATAGTGCTTTAGTCTTCCTGAAGGTCTTTTAAAGGTTTTATTTGGATATTGGCATCTTCTTCACTAATTTTCTGTCCGTCTACTGTTCACTGAAGTCTCATCAGAAATGGTCTCAGTGGAAGGTAGAGAAACAGGGAGGAAAGGCAACATTACACAGGTTTTTATTCAAATCGTCGTGTTTTGGGGCTGTATTTTAGCCATTGGAGTTGGGATTCTTGTCAAAATTGATGATATTATGAATGCGCAAAAGTATCATCAGACTGATCCACCATGCAGTTCCATCAGCTTTTTTTAGCATGACATTGATCCCAAACACTCTGCCAAAGAACAAAAGGCATCGAATATCCAAAGAAGAGTTTTAACGTCTATCAAGAAATCTGGAGAACTTTTGCTGAAGACTAAAGAAATTACAAGAAAGCTGATCACACAAAATATTGACTTTCAAGCTTATTAGAACTGTACAAACTCCTTTTTTGCTTTATGAACTGTATTTTAACGCAGGCTTATAAATGTTTCAACAAACTGCTGCACATATTTCCCATTTTCAAACAAAAATGAAGAAATGAGGGGTGGCTTAACACTTTTGCTCAGAACCTCTGAATGTAAAAATGTAAGATACAAACGATGGCTCTGCCTTTGAATCTCAATATCACTTTCTTGAATCTCTCTCCACCTGTCGTTAACTTTATAAATCCACTTTCCACGAGTAAAACACATAAACATGTAACAGATTATTATTAATTATTATTAATTGTTGTTGTTGTTATTATTATTATTATTATTATTATTATTATTATTATTATTATTATTATTAGAGCCTTGTGGTGGCATTAAATTTATGCAGAAATGTTGATGAAGTTTCAAATAATAGAGTTTCAAAAATGTTCTAAATGAGCATCTTCTAGTGTCACACACTTTGTTGTACATACTGATATGAATAATTTATTAATTCACATTGTACAGCCCACAGTTAACTATCCATCCCACTCCACCAATTAAAAACAACCATTCAGCTTAAAATCCTTCACCTGTGAAAAAAATAATAATAAATCCATCACACAATCTCAGTCTCTTTACACTTTCAGTGGCACAGAATTGCTCTCAAAGTGATTTATCAATATATATTTTTTATCTAGTCGTATTTGTAGTTTTGGTCTTCGTTCTCTTGTTGGCAGAAAACACCCAACCACCAACCCGCCATCTGTCCCCGCTGCTAAATACAGGTTCAGTAGAAAATGTTGGCCAAAATTTGCTCCTGTCCCAAAACTGGACCAACTTAATGTCCTTCTGCTCAGGAACCTCCAGGGTCCTCCAATCACTCAGCTCAGCCCCCAGAGAGTTTCCATGCTACAAAGAGCAGATGAATCCTGCCTCTTTAAAGACTGAGTTTCAGTGGAAGGCATAGAGCAGGAGGAGAATGGTGCAAACGCCAATCACCGCGCCAAGGATCAGAGAGTCCCTTCTCTTTCGCAGGTTGATTCGCTGAATGAGGTTGTTGATAGCTGGGAAACGGTCTGAAAGAGTGTAAATTAAGGAAAAATACACAAATATGGGATATAGTAACCTCAGTAACACTATTACTGGCTACATTTCTATAAATCCTAATAAGAAAGACCATTTTCTATCAAATATGTGAGCGCTAATTTTTGAATGTCCTATACTGATTTCAGTCTAGAAATCCTTTAAAGATAACTTTAAAGGAGGCCACTTGGTTCCCCGCATACAACACTGCACATGTGCAACATAAAGGATACTGGCCAGAGTATTGACCTTGCTCTGTATGGATTTCAGCATGCCCCTTTGGAAGGTTATGTTCTCCTTGGTCGCCATAGCAATGCTGAAGAAAAAGAAAGATGTAGCAAAACAGATGAGTAGAGAAAAGTGACAATCCTTCATGTCTTTGCTCTTTATTAGTAATGTAAAAGTACCTCTGACTGTAGGCGAGTTAGAAATTTTTATCTTTTCTTTTTTACTTTGGTTGTCTCCACCAAACATCGTGGTGCTGTAAAGCCCCTTTGTCATTCAGTACTGTTTCTAAACTTTTTTTTGTAAACCAAAACTACCGAAAAGGATTTAAAGGGTAAAACCTAAAATTGTGATCATTCCTGCTCATTCAAACACCATTCCTCCCTCCTACATGCAGTATCTTTATGAGATGGTTAGGCACCTATAAGGGCAGTACAGATGTGCTGTGGTATTGTGCCTCTTGTTCTAAAACTTGGGCCTCAGGAATCTTCAGAGCAGCAAAGTGCAGCTGAGCAGTTGGCAGGAAAAGTTTCAGGCTCTATGTTACACAAAATAATCAATACAAGCTTCAGAGCCCACCTTCAAGCACTTTGTTCAACTTTTAGTTGTAAGAACTAATCCCCAATAATCATTTATTTCTCTTACAGTAACCTCTCCAGAGCTGTACCAAAAAAGATCCACAAACAGGTTCTATAAACAATAACTAATGGCTAGATGCCAGCAGCAGTGGCTGTGAGTGGTACTGGTTTGCTCATGCAAGGAGAGAAATTACTTTAAAAAGACATGACATGCTGAGAAGCATCATTTAATCTGTTTAAAGATGATGTGACATCAGCCAAAAGCTTTTAGACCCGTTCACGCCCCTTATATACGACATAATGAATAATATACTATTCGAACATATGTCATTATATTATTAGAAAGGAAAAATATTGATTCAAGCAAAAAATCTTCAATTATTCTAAATTTTCACTACATGTAGGATTATGCTAGTATTCAGACTGGTGACAAACAGAACTAGTCATACGGGACCAATTCCTCATATCTCAGAGTAAAAGATCCCCAGAGGATGCCGGTGAAAACAAAGTAAATGAAATCACCAGTTGTTTTCTCTTTTGGCTGGTAAAGATGATGAGCTGTGTGTGTGTGCATGTGTGTTTCGACTGAGCACTGAGAGACTATGACCACTGTGTTCGTCTGAACGTGTTGTGCGTGTGATGTGTGAGCACGGGTGGGTGGGGTCGTAGCATCTCCTGTGGTTTGGAGGTTGCTGAGGGGACAATCTGCAGTCTTGGCCTGGAGCTGTGTTTTGGGGATCATGTTCTCCTCAGTCAGGAAGAATCACTTTGCTGATACCAGAAACCTCGACTAGTCAGTGTTAACCGGCTCATGAGAATCAGAGCTGGAGGACAGAAGTGCACTCTGATCAGTCAGTTTTTGTTTTTTGGTGACCTAAACGAGGAATGTTAAACTGTCCAGCAAACTGTTGAATAAAACCCCAGATCACAAATCATGATAGTGCCTCTTAATGCAATATGTGCAGCACACAGTGCCTCTTCTTCTTGGACTGAGGTCATTAAAATTAAACTAACTACACCTACAAAACTTTTTAAAAAGATAGCCCGTAAACTACAGTTCATTGTGTTTAAGAAGATAACGTGTTATCCGTCACACCTGAGAGAACTGTAATTTTTAAACCCATTTTTTTTTAACTATAGCCAGAAGCCAGAACAATACTCATCTTAAGAGACTTTAAATTATATTGAAAAGAGCCAGCCACATTATAAAGGGGAAAACAATGCATAGCAACAATGCTCTGTGAGCACATACGTGTGTCTGAACCAGACTCAGATGAATAAGGGAAAGAAGGGCTTACCTTATTGTGTCATCCATCAGTCGATCTGAGCTATAGACAGTGAGAAGGAGAGAAAAAAGAAGGGAAGGGCACTGGTTAGATATTGATACAAGCACTGCAGAATAAACAAGGAATCTGCATGCTTGATTTGGCAGAATTTGTATACTTCCTGACACAAAACCAAAGGCCATGCTACAGTATGGTTTGGTCTGGTCAAGCTGTTGGAAGACTGATATACCTTTTCACTTTAAAAAAAAAAGAAAAAAGAGTTGTGGTAGATTCTGTTCAATTAAAAAACAGAACAAAACTTGCACAGTTTTGAGTGTCTTTTAAGATCTCCTCCTGTACAATCTGTGAGTCTCTGAGCTTCTGTACTGATTTATCATTAAAATGGGAGCAAAAGCCAGCAAATTGTACACTCGTGCGCCAACTGCAACAGGTCCGTTGATGTTTGCAAGGGCAATAACACCAGTATATTTGGCCCATATAGCAGTGACTGAGTTGCACAAAAAAAGGCATTAATCTTTTTTTTTTCTTTTTTATTTGTTTTGTTCATTTTCCCCTCATGGATAAATCAACTCAGATGCCCGGAGATTAACGTTCTGCATCACTGCATAAAAGAGGGGAAAGTGGAAGGCACTGCTATACTCCCAATCCCACACAAACCTCTTATGCTGTAACACTTGTTTTGTGTCTCAGGTTGCTCATAAGCAAAAAAGCTTTCAGCGGTTTATCTTCTAATTGGAATCAATTTGGATAATGTTCCAGAGAACTAAAGTCAACCAAACAAACAAAACTGCAGGGATTGTATTTCATAGTTCAACAGTCATTCATCTTCCATTCAGCAGCTCCACATCCTCCACCTGCATGCTCAATGTGTGGTTTTCGTTAAGCTCTTAACAATGTTGAGATGAAGTAAGAGAAGGCGCCAAAAGATTTATACCTCACTTGCAAGATGCAAGATCTTCCTGATTGCATCACAGTTTTTGTGATTCTCTCATTCTCTCTCTTGATGGGCAAACATGAGCGGAAACCACCAAGAGCTGAAAAATGTGTTTCTTCAGTTTTGATAAATTATTACTGGGTACCAATTAGCAGTCCATTTCTACATCTGTGACTTGATAGAACTCTTTTCTGCTCCAGCTGACTTTTATTTTGCTTTGCAGTGAGTGTTTACAGGAAAGGTGGTAGAGAAAGCCAAGCCCAGACATAACAAGGGACCTTTTTTCACTAGAGCTCCCTACAATCTGTGGTATTGAAAGGTAATATGTCTTATTTAACTTTTTGTCTTCTAGACAGGGAGTGGGCAGGACCAATTGGACTATAATGCATATTCACAATGTGGGCTGTGCATCCTTCTGTTCTTGGATCACAGCTGCCCACACTGGCACCAACCCGCTTTTTTGGCAGTAGTTTGTAAGATCGTAACTGCATTTGTCTGACTGAATGAAATCAGTTACAGGAGGTGAAATGATAACTGGCATCTAACTTCATTATGAGTTAGATGGCAGTTACCATTTCACTTAATAAATGTATTGTGGGAGCTGGTGGGTGGAGTGAAGAAGACTGCAATTAGGCAATTATGCAGTAGGAATAAGACTTTATAGCATTAGAAAAAGACCAGAAATTATATTCTAGGATCTGAGATTTTAAAACATAAAAACTTAAAATAAGTATTTGGTTAATAAAATATTAAATTAATTGGTGCGAACAAACACTGTCAGGCCAAAAAAGAAGAAGAAGAACTTAAGACGAATGCAATATGGACAGAGACTGCTTAAAAGATGGAAGGAGGTGCGACAAAAAAACGAAGCCTTTAACTGTCCTTCACCTGACAGTGTTCTGCTGATAAATAATGAGCTGAAGAGGAAAAAGAGAAAGCTCAGGATCCGCCTTGATTTATGGAGTTTTTATGTGCAGAGATGAGATGTGGCAAAAGATTTATGCTTTATATCCTCCATAATCATTCTGCAGCTATAGTGGTGAGGTTGATTGTGCCATTTATGTATATTAGAATTTCTGTGGTTTCAGCTTTGAGTGGGGTTCTTTCTGTTTCCCTTGGTCAGTTGTTTTCCTGCAGTCATTAAGTCACTCATTAGCTTCAAGCTAATTGCCCTTTCCATTTTGATGAATCAACCCATACTGTCCACATGATCTGCTGCGATTCACAAACAAATGATCACGCAGACAGAATGCTTATTGACAATTATGTACACTTTGGTTTCATCTGAACAGTATGTTAAAAAAAAGTACTACATGCATTGCAAAATCATGGCTACAAGGATTAAAACAGTACTGCCCACAAGTCCTTTAAAGTGGTCTCAAGCCAAAAGTCCTTTAGGCTTTCTGAATGTCTTTCATAGTTTCTGTTTGGCTGCTTTTTCGCTCATCTTCAGTCAAATCCTTGTACCTCCCCCTTTTCAGAGGAATGTTTTTTGTCTTTTAAGCCACTCAAGTGAAAAAAGCACCTAACTAACCTAATATGAATCAGTATTGTGTATACACATAACAGTCAACTTAGCAAAGCACTTTGTTTCTAGCAGCTTGTTGCAAATACACATCATTTGTTCAGCTCAGTCTATGAAAAATGCCAAAGATAACAAAGTTTGATACACACAACATTGTATTTTGCATCAACACGATGATTCCCAAAGAGCTCTCTTCCAAAAACCTGGCTTATGTCAGCATGGTGTGCCTCCCCAGAGCCTGGACCACAACATTATTGATGCAGTGTGGGATCGTCCTGACAGAGAACAGAAGAAAAGGCAGCCAATATCCAAAGAAGGGCTTTGAATGACCTCCAAAGTTTACATCAAAGTTTACTTGAAGGGCCAACAGATAACATAAACTGCACGCTCAGTCATCCTGGTAAGGAAATCCCAGAAAGTTCATTCTGTTCATCTGGATGTAGCGTTTCTGGTAGGAGAATCATTTGTCAATGAAGTTATGGTACGCGTTTTGCTACTGAGAAGTCCCACTAAAACATTACCAACATTAAGTACTGAGAGGAAAATCAGAACATGCCAGTAAGCAGCTAAACACTTTCAACTCACTGAAATGAGTCTTCTCTCCCAAACCGTAAACAATCTTAATGTTTAAATTGCTTTCACAGGGAAATGGATATGAAATAGATCATAATGGACTGTTTTGTGTGAGCTAGTCAGTGAATATGGTTGATATGGATGATAGATTCAAAATAAGCTGTGGTATTATCCTCATATCATTACAAAAGTGTGAAAAAACATAAATTAACTGACCCAAATTGGTCCACAAACACTCTTGTTGGGTAAATCTATAATTAAATCTCTACATGTCCTGAACTAGTTCTGTGGTAAGTTGTAATGTGATAGAAAGAATACGAGGCAAGCACTTCACCGTGTATCCATGGTGCAAACTTAAAAATCTGCAACAGGCTAGACAGACTAAATGCAGGGATCTTGAAGAGGACAGAGTGACAGAGAGACTTTGAACACCTGTTTAAAATGCTAGGTGGAAAACCTGAAGAGTTCACCATGATCAAGACCTTGCAAAAAATTATAAAAGAGATATGGGCATGATATACTGGCCACTACAGTTTTAGAAGTACCACCCATGGCTATTTGAGTATTTCCATTATCAAAATGGGCAATTAACTGTCCTTGTTAAAAGAAAACAGATTAACTTGACAACTGTGAAGATAACTAACCCACACAGCCTGAGCACTGTAGTTGTAAAATACCTAACTCTCACCAAATTACTATTGTGTACTTTGCTAAATTACCTAAGTAACTTAGCAAAGTACACAATTATTCAGCAACCATGCTGGTCTTAATGATTAGAAAACAGAAACATTCACAAATTGCAGGTTCTTTGCAGCTGTTGGATGTGGCTCAAGGGTCGTGCGATTTGATGCCCTTGTTCATTATGCTACACTAACCTTTTAATTTTTTATTTGTTATAAAAATGCACAATTTGAATATGTCTTGTTTGATATGTAGATGATATTTAGATGCTTTTTCACTTGAAGCAAAGCACCACATGCAATTCTTATGAGCCTGGCAAACAGAGCTTACACATTTAGAAACAGGAAGACTATAGAGCCTAAATGGACACAAAATGATGAGTTGTGACAGTATTTACTGAAATAAAGACTCAGAGCATATCTTAAAGCTTAATAACTCAACTTTGTGAGTGACAAGAAAAGCATCCAGAGAATCATCATTGGATTTCCTTGTGAGTTTGAACTGGAAGTCCTTATGTGACCACTACCATTAAAGCTGTTGCAGCATGAACTTTTAATGGACTTACCCCTCCCTCCCTCTTGTTTATTTATGAAGACTAACCTCTATGGCAAAGAGAAATGGAAAAACAGATCTACAAGGATGGAGAAAGAACCAATGATGGGGCGAAATAACAGATCAGCAGCATTTATAGTAGCTTTAATTACTAAATGGCATCAAGTTACACTTGCCAAAGACTATTATAAACTAAAGCTAAAGCAATGTGTATCAGTGACAAAACTGAAAACAGCTTTCAGCTCTAATATGCAGAAACATCTGACTGCTGTAGAATCACATACTGAAAACTGATGAAAGCTACCTTAAAGTTACAGTGTATACAACCTCACCACTAGATGTCAGTAGATTATAGACTGGATTCAACTTCATTCAAGTTTTTTTTTCTTACACCTTCCAATTTAAGTACATAATCCTAGCTATAGTTGCTGGTGTAGTCAACCATGAGAGATCAAAAACATTAAATTTAGACTGTACCCAATAATGGGTTGTGGCCAATCGGTGTGTTTCTACTACTGTTTGTGTGTTAAAAAAAACAAACAAGCAAGCAAATAAACAAACAAACAAACAAACAAACAAAATAGTCTTTCACTATTTGGTTTACCATCCTGTCTTTAAGTCTGACGTCATTAGCCATTTCCGGGTCCAAACGCCGCTTCAGGTCCCACAGTCAAACGGACAACGTGGCATCACTGAGAGTTAAAAATGGTCTAAATGCTTTCATCTTTAATAAAATGATGAGTGTGGCCGCTCTACCAGGTGTAACAATTAAATTTA